CACACTGATGATGCCTACATTAAAGTCATTGGAACGAAGCTAGAGAGCCACACAAGTGAACAACAGTCTCCGTTAAATCTTAAGAAAATTCTTTTAGCACTGGCAAATCATATTGACTTAGCTAGGCAAGATAATGACTCCAGGGCGACGAATCCAAAAATTCAGGAGGAGAAGTCCAATCTGAAAATCTTGTCTCTTCTATTAAACCAAAGTACGTGGGAAGATCTTCGCGATTTCAACTTGGGCAGTGCTTTGAAAGAAATCACTGGAAGTTCCTTGAAAGTAAAGCGACATGAAAAACTCGAGGACCAGGGGTCTAGTCAGAACCAGGCTGATGTAAAGATAATACGACCAGAAGCGGATAAACTAGGGACTAGCACACCGGAGTTGGTTTTAAACACAGTTAGAAACCCCAGTAACTCTTCAAAGAGCGAGGAAGGTCTCTCGTCTTCGAAATATTTCTTAAATGCGACAATCATTGAAAAGCATGCGTCAGTTTCGAGCGGAACTGGCTCAGAAAAGCCCGGGGATGAAGGTTCTAGAAGGTTTGTTTTAGCAGCTTTGACATAACGCGACCACTTCCCATTCTCCTTCGCAACGATCCACATACAACATTACCATTTGTGCATCATTAACTCCGTCTACATCTCAGATCACGAATTCACATCAAACCAACATAACAGAGATCAAACAGCTCCATTAGTACTAGTCACAACAAAACAGCTTTTTACAATTAGGATGATTTCGAACCTCTCTTGCTGAAATTCGATACAACTTTTCAAACTGGCAGTCAGTCAGTAATTGTCAGTTGTCTTACCACAACATGGTACTTCAGTACCGAAAAAAAATGTTTTTTTTGACAAGTGGCACAACTTTCTTTTCCCTGAGACGTGTTCCTCGACTTAGGATAACATGAACGAAAACTTGAACTTTTTGAACAGAAGTCAGTTATAAAACAGAATATTTATATATCACAGACAATTTTTCAAGCGCACAATTCTTTATTTTGATTATGATAGTGTCGACTTTGAGAACCAAAACAGTAAAACCTTGAGGGTAGAGGAGAAATCTGAGATGAAAAAACAATCAAAACATGGCTCTAATGGAATATTGAAGTTTGACGCGATCAGATGTGATGCCCTGGATCCAAAAGTGTTGTTGTATAATCGTATTTTCAAGACGGGGAGTTCAACCACAGAATTTATAATTACGAACTCGAGTTCAAGAATGAATTACCACTATAAAATAGGTGAGCAGAAGTTCTTTAAATGAATACTTGGGTTTCACTTTTGTGCCTGAAACTAAAGTAAAGGTATGTAAATGAGATCAAATGACTTTTGTGGAATGAGGCTTCAATTTTCGACAATTTTCCGGCAAAGTAATCTTGGTAAGACTTGTTTCTTCCAAAACCCCAAAGCACAGTTTTTGTTTAGAAATAATTTGGTGAGTGGTCGAAGAACTAGGGCCAGTGGTTTTAACAGGATCCAGAATAAGGAGCTAACATTGCCTGATGCGATTGACTAACTTAAGAAAGTTAGGAAACAAAATCACTGACGTCACTCTTCAATAACGTTTAACGAAAAACGCTGCCTAACGTGAATACCAAATAAAACATAGCTCGCAAAACATAACGCATAACACATAACATTTTCATTCTTTCAATCATGTTTTTCGTTCTCGTATATTCTTTGATCATCATTAATCGCCCACTTTCTTAAAAATGAGTGATTAACCTTAATTACTAATTGCTCTCTTGTAAGTATAATATCAAGTGGCTTTATCAACTCTATGATACTATGCTTGTAGAATAACAGTGAGCTTCTTGACTGTGTAATGGGATATTTTGTTAACTGTATCAATTGTTTTCATGCTTAAAGAATCATTAGTTATTGAACATCGGCCAAGGAACCGAGAAGGAGGAATCAATTAATTTAAGTCCTTCATGTTAGCTATCTAGTCCTTGAGGTTCATACAGTCATTTAGAGAGGGGGTGGGGGGGGGGGGGTGGAGTCGGGAGAGGGCGGTCTTTCTTGTCAGAACTGATGAAATATCATGAAGATAAGAGATTGAGAGTTTTTGCGAAGACTTGCATTCTTTTTGTTTATTTTCTTAATTAGGCTAGCGAAGTCTTAAAATCTCGGGGAACATCAGGCGATCGGGAATTTTCTGTTTTAAATCATTTTTTAGGGTAATTAAGGGAAATTTTCATTAATTCAGATGATGAGGAATCACAATAGCTGGTCTCTTTTCTGGCTGTTTTTGACATGTCACGCCTTAGAGCATCGTTGCGTGACATTCCCTACAACGACAACGGTAATCTCTCTTTTGCTTATGCCACATTTCTCTGTTAAAAGGAACGACGGAAGACTGGTACGATAAAGGCACGTCCCGCCCATATCCGGGACTTATCATAAGAAAAGCCAACAAACTCAAGAAATACCCGCGCATGGCATTTGTGGCGCATTTTTACTTTCGGAGAAAATTGAACTTACCGCAGGCTCATACGTACATCAATCAAGTACGCGATCCTGTAAGACGGCTGGTGTCTCACTATCATTACATGAGGAGCAACTTACGGCCTGCCTATAGAATTAAAGAATTTCGCGCATCTGGAGAACAGGACGAATCTTTAGAGAAATGTTTCAGATTGCAACATAAAGGATGTCAAAATAACGTCATGACGAGATTTTTCTGCGGGAAACATTCTTATTGCCGCAGAGGAAATGGAAGGGCACTGCGCAAGGCTATGAGTAACATCAAACGATATTATGCCACAGTAGGTTTACTGGAAAATTACGATGTCTACCTTCAAATACTGAACAAGCGGTTGCCTAAGTTTTTCCCTAAAATCCCCTTAGAGGATATCAGTAAATTTAAGTACAATTCCGAATACAAGTTTGACGACATTTCTAGAGATCTTATTAGAGACATCACCAGAGCAAACTGGGCTGATGTGAAGTTGTACTCGTTTCTGAAGAAACGCTTTTGGCAGCAAGCTAAAACCTGTGGCATTATGACGAAATAATGACCCAGGACCCAGTATTTTAGTGGGTAAGCTCGGTTATCGACGAAAAAATGGAAGTCTTTGGCGTCGGTAAAAATCTGAAGCAATCGGAAACCGATACAAATATTGCATAGCGCTCGGAAATAAACGACATCACTTGTTCTTTACCATTTTTGCTGTACATAGAAAGAGCGACATCAAGGTTAGCCATGAACAATAGGAATATATTTTTGTACAAAAAATAAGATTTTTGATAGCAGCCGAGACTGGGATACCATCCTATCATTTGAATGAATTATCCAACGAATGTAAAGGAGAATTTGAAAAAAGGGAAATAAAAAGTTATGTTTACCATGAATGAACTACGAAAAAAAAGAGGCATACACCCCATAAAAGTATTAAATTTCTCCTAAAAATAACATTGTTTGTAAAAATAAAGTAAATAATTTCGTGGAAAAGAACATTCTGTCCCCAATCTTAAGCTTCAGTTTAGGGTTTCTTATGTTCATAGTCTTTTCACGAATAGCCTAATTACCCAGGATTTGCTTTACTTTGTAATCTGATGGCATGTACTAAAACATAGACGATAGACAGTAGACGAAAGATCCCGTTCTGAATGGTTTGAAACCTTCACCACTTTCTTAACCGATCTGATCCAAAACAAAATCAGTTGCAAGCCTCTCCCTTGCGCTTTGGACCGATTGCGTGTGTTTGGTTCGAGTTCTCCCTGGAAGCTCAGACATTTACCTTGATTCTGACTGGCCGTTGTAATTACAAGTGTCGATTTTGGTCTCACGGTACTCAATTGAGTGCCACATTGTCGTATGCAGGTGAAGTATTTGTCTCCAGATCGGATGCATCCCTGAGTTCAAAACGTTTCAATACTATTTTCACAAATTAAAATAGATTCATTGAGAAGCCACGTTTTAAGGCTCTACTTGGTTTCTTTCTCCGTGCTGACCATGCGATAGGTAGACCCAGGTGATCAAACTTGGTGGTTGAAAGTGATCTGGTACCCAGTTTTTTTTTTGTTTCACGCGGGGTAGACCTGGGCACATGTCTGTAATGTATGAGCATCACGTGACCAAATATATTTTTCCATCATTTTCATAACGTTTTATGTAGTATTTTGTCGACAATATACCTCAAGAATAAATATGAAACCTTAACTGGATTTATGTTTAAATTACAAAATTTTACCAATAAAAAAGTAGCTTTTTAAATAGAGACTAACCTTTTACCAAAGTTAACCAAAACGTAGTATCTACTAACATGAAATCTTGACATGAGTGTATATTATGCTAAAGTGTGTTCGTTGATTTACATATTCTACAGTAAGTTACGTACATGCCGTTAAATATCTCATCTTTGGAATGGTCAATTAATTTCTTCTTACAGTGTCACACATTATCTGTCAGCAAGGTGCTGAGGGGAATCAACTTATCAAGTCGAGAGTGTTATCTTGACTTAATTCCAAATAAGATCAGAGCTACTCAGAATGGATGAGATGATAAAATGACGAGGGAACATTATCTATTCAGGTAGTGAACTTTATCCAATTCGCTTAAGGGAAAGTGTGGGAAAGAATATGGATAACGAGCCAACCAACTTAATGGAATAACTATTTGTTCGCTTCAGCAATAGGTTGGAGTAGAGCATGCGCTAAATTGAAAATGTATTCCTTTCGATTACTTGTAATAATAACAAAAAGAAGCCTGTGACGGTGATACGTGGCCATTTCCAATCACCGTTTCGAAAAGCCTTGTTTTCGATAACTGACCTTTCCAAAATAGCTGCGTGACGGTCTTTGAAAGGTTTCGTTTCCAGTGACTGAAATTGCCGTTTTAAAGTAGACAGCAGGCCCAACCCGATGGGAAAAGGCGTTGAAATTCTATCAGAACAATTTTAAACAAGAGCCTCGTAGGCAAGCTTCAATAGTTCACGGAACTCTACGGATCATTGGACGCGGAAAGGTTTCTCTTCTCTAAACTCGTATTAAGCCATCATTTCCCATGGCAATCAACCAGCTTGAAAGAAGTTTTGACCTCTGAGGTAAAACAATATTTATCTGTCTACATTTTGAAGTTCTATGGTGTAAGGGGGAGTACCCCTCTCAAAAACACGGCTAATTCGCTTTGCTAACCAAACAGATCTTGTAAGTCATTGCTGTTGTTCATAGAATTTTGATTCCTAGGGGCCTGGTACTGATACTGCTGGCTCCCCATTCCACCCATCAACGGTTGCTGTTGCATGGGAAACATCCCGGATGAGGACGTCAGCATACCTCCGCCATACTGCTGTGGTGTCATAGGTCTTATTCCTCTTACACCTTAAACACAAAGACACGGGCTGATTCTCAGTGCTTATTTCATTTTCTCTAGTACTAGGGCCCAAAAGTTGATGCGTCACTCAGTAAGGCAGCCACTACTTGACGATCCACTAAACGGTCAAAAAACAGCTACACAAACACAAATGATCATAAAGATGTTTGTCATAGAAGACTTTAACCTTGTCGTGGAAGAGACGAGTACAATTTTGCGTTACTTTTCGAACAAACCCACCAAACATTTTGCCAATTGCGATTTTAAAGAAAAATTTCATGGATATAAATCAAGATACAATAAAAGGCGTTTTTAGGCCCACTTGAAAGAAAGAAAAACAGATTTACAGACAGTCCGACAAAAAGAGACAGATCGACAGTCAGACAGGCAGAGTTTATGTGACACACAAGTTAAATAGCAAGCGATAGCACTTCAAATGAGGAAAAACCATAACCAACATCACTGTCTGAAAGCAAGTGGAAAACTATTTCCATCTTCTAGTAGGAGCTAAGGCCTCCTGAGAAAAACATACCTGGATTCATAGCAGCCGACATACCGGCTTGTTGTGATTGCAAGACGTTCATCGAGGGTTTACCCTTATTTTGTAAATGTCCTAATTCAGGAGCAAATAAGGAATCCAGTGCAGAGGAACCACTCGTGTTTTTTCCTTGATTTCCCGCAGCGGATCCTGCAGAAGAATAACGTGGCGAGGAACTCGCGGGACTCATCCCAAATGATCCCGTCATGGACGTGTTTAGACTTGATAATCCTGTCATACCGGAGTTCATACCGGACATTCCTGTATAGCTGGCCATTCCAGAACCCATTCCGGTATTACCAGAATGAAGCCCAGACATTCCGTATGAGGCTGTAGACATCCCCATTGAGGGATTAACCCCAGAGATACCAGGCTGCGATAAGGATGAAGGGGCCATAGGTTGAGAGGGCCGAGAGGTAGCAGGATATGACGAGCTTGACGCCAAGGTTTTCTTCGACGTTGTGGACTTCGGACGAAACAAAAGACGGAAAAAAAATTCAGAATATTTACAACATGAATGTGTGAATTCAAAACTCGCTACAAATAAGACGACCAAAATTTCACACATTTGCATCCAATATCGCTGCTCAGGACGTTTTTGATACCGCTGAGTCTATCATAAGGCACACCGCGTGTTACACATCAACCTTGAGTTTTGCCGATTTCACCAAAAGTTGCCTATTAGTCAGCGGTAGAGCATCCAAACAAGTTCCAATTCGCGGCTCATTTTGAAGTTCCATAACCGTGACTAAAAGCTAAACACCCTTCTTTACGAGAAATTATAACTTCCTGAAAGTCGAACATTCGAAAAGGTAACTGTAAAAAAATAAGCAAATGCAGAAGGTCTGATCAAAAGCCCAGCTACACAAGTACGTTTTATCAAGACTCTTGTTCACCTTCTGTTGTGTTGTTGGGTTTGTTGGTCCATCATGGTTTTTCTTCGAAGGCTGCAGCATGGAAAATTCGTCCACACCCAGCAGATTTCCACTCAGGGATGGGCCTTTCGACGACGAAGGATTTCCCGGCAAACCAAACATTTTGTTGAACTAGAATAGGATGTAATTTGAAGTTCAAATCTTCTTCTGATACAAAGATATTTGTTGAAGCTTTCAACAAACGTCATTCTCCAGTAATCTTAGTCGACTCACTTGGAAACTAACCCTGAGAATACACGAAAAAAGGTACTGGAGTTTTTTTCTTACCTCTGTGGAACTAGTTGCCCCGATTGAAGTGGATGATGATGCAGAAGAATCACCGCTGCTGCTTTTTAACTCTTTGACTTAAAAAAAGAAAAAAAAAAGAATCATGATGTAACTCAATAAACCACAACAAATTTTCTAAATCTGTATTAAAATCAGTTGGGAATTTCAACATTTGCGCCACTACAATCATCGTGGCGTACAACAGCTCTAACAAGCCTACTTGCTGATGAGAAAAGAAGTAGCCTTCCGTGGGAAGAAATAATCATCAAATGAAAGCCTGCGTTAATTACCTTGAGTTAGAGGTTGAGAGATGGTCATGCAGTTGGACCTCAGGAGACCGTGTCGTTAAAGACACCGTAACTTAATTGAGTCTTTCAACTCTTTAACTTTTCAAGCCTTTAAGCTCGTTATGGTGGTCAATTCACGTTTTCAACTCAGTTGTTAACACTAAATTACCTGAGTCTTTCAAAACCTGATTATTGTCTGCTGTGTTTCATTCACGATCAAGATATTGACTGTCTTGGAATTTAAACAATAAAAATATCAGAAGAAGAGACACAATCAAGTGGCTTTTTTTGTCCACCCAATACCTGTTATATTATTCCTCAAGATTAGCCTAAAAAATGTCACTTAGGGCCCGCAGAGTTACCAGGACTAGCGAGAAACAGGCCCCTGTCCGTTGGTAGACAAAGCAGAAGAGCATAATTTGATGATGAATCGATGAATACCTGCTTGTTCAGCCTCAGTATTACCACCCATGAGTTTGTCTATTCTGCCCATCAAATCATCCATTTGCTTTGCTTCCTGCACTTCCTCGACGAACTTCAAAGACGATCTGACCACGTGAAAAAGGAACCACAGTTATTGCATGTTAACTACCACCTCTGTAATGCAAAATTTGAGAAGCAATGCGATTTGGATGTTGATGAAGAAATTAGGGGGTGAAAACTGATGAAGGAAGAAACGGTATGTAAGAAACAAAGCCACTACGAGGCCACATGTCCTAACAAGTAACTTCGTGGCGCAGTTGGATGCACGGGTCCGAATCCTGTCCAAGCTTAAATTTTTTCAGCCTTCTTTTGAGCAATTTCTTTAACCCTTTAACTCCCGTAAGTGACTAAGGCAGAATTTCTCCTTACAATATTAATACAATATCAACCAGATAAGTAATGAGAATAAAGAAAAATATCAATTTGGGGATAAATAGTTGATCCAATATTAAATTCTCTGAACCAACATTAAAAGAATTGTATGGTTGACAGTAAGGAGAATTACAAATTTGATCTAGGAGTTAAAGGGTTATTTACATCTTACATAAGAGGATCACTTCTTTCCTCATATTTCTGCCGCAGATTAACAGATGATTCGTTTCACTTAATTGTGAACAAAGGAGAAATAACTTAAGCAGGGTGTAGGACGAGAGGATGGGAGAGAAAGAGGAATAACAGTGTGCAAACCTGGCACCTGAAGAAATGAGGGGAGCAGGGACAGGGAAGGCATAGGCCTGAGGGGAGCGGGGACTGGGAAGGATACAGAAGAAGGGAGATGGATAACATGGAAAGAAGGAAGGCAAGAAGGAAGGTCTGAAAGAACAAAGAAAGGGTGAAAAGAAGGAAAACAGGGAAAGAAGTAGTAACAGGAAATGAGGGAGCGTGGAACACTGAGTTGGGGGAATGGATTGAGATTCTCTTACTTCGTCTGTTCTTGCATCTTGTTAAGCTGTTCCAGTTTTGTGCGGTGTTCGGTTTCCACTCGTTTCACCATCTCGTTGATAAGTTTCATATACTGGCCAAACTAGAGGCAAAATAAAACAGAGAAGTTAGACAAGATTATCAGTGATGTGGTTCACAGATAACCAGAGTTTTCCACATATTTTTAAGAAACCAACCGTAAAACTAGTAAAGTATTGGGGGGGG